CAAGAGTGGCCGTGATTTCATCCTTGGTTATCATGCTAGGGAGTGCCCCCTTTCATTTTCTCCCTTCCTTTTCTGCTTTTTTGCCTTTTTACTTACATTTCTAGGCACTGGACTTCCCTCTATGACGACCAGGGGTGGGAAAAAGCTTTAGTTTAGGCCTGGCTGCCTACCCTTCTGCCTTCCTTGTTTCCCTTACTATAGTTGTGCAGGCTGGACACCCAATGTCGGCGTTTGTGTTGCCCGTAAAGTTAGAAGCTGCCGCTCGTTAATCCACTGCATTTTGGGTGATACCAGGTGCTACATGTGTCACAGCCTATGACTTGGTCAGAAACCTCTGTGGCGCAGCTTTCCTTCCCGCACAGATAATCTTGGGTTCCCGTGTCTCTTTTACATTTCCCAATAGAGGATCTTGTGCTGGTGCCCATGCCAAACTGGTTAAGCCCCAGATCAATCATTAAAACCAGGTTGCATTTTTTAAAAGAGATCAAAAGGTGAGCAGATAGAATATTCAGAGTAAAACTGTGGCCGCTGTTAAGGTAAAGCTTATGTTAATGTATGCTAAAATTCTAGTATATGGAAGTTCCCTACGATAGAAGCAGAAAACCGCTGGTATTACGCTTTAAGTTAATTGAATCCCGCCAAGATACAGAGTACGATGTGGGCTCAACTTTAGCGTTTTTCTTTGCCAAGATTCTAAAGCCTTTTTCCAGTTCATACATCCCGGAATTTTCGATTCCTTCCTTGGTTTTGCTACTTATTTGATCTGAGGACTCCCCACGTTAAACTTTTGATCCGCGCGGCGTCAAGGTTAGGCCTCGTCAAGTCACAGTTCAGTTCAGTCCAGTCCAGTCTTCACAGGACGTATGATGGCCCTTGCCAATCGAGCGTCCAGATCATCATGTTATTATTATTATATCATATCATCATTATCATGTTGTCGGCGCGGGTTCTTGGCTAACAACACTGCGTTGTCTCAGTTTCTTTAGCCAGGTTCTATCAGATGAGTTGGAAAAGAGAAAACAGAAGAGATGTCTTCTTGCCTCGTCGGTGAGAGACTTTAGTCCTCTGAAACATACCAGTTTCAAGTGCAATTTATTAGGCCCGATTCCATATTTCGAAGCTGATATTTATCCGGCACTCAGTGATGATACACTACCACCTCTGGTTTTCTGCACGTCATGTTTGCGCATAGACGAAACTGTTGCCCCCTGGCTTTGTTTACTGCCTTCACACATTGAATGCTGTGTTTGAAATCCCGCGTGACCACTTTGCCTCGATCCTTTGCCTCGTGCACCTTTTGTATCAACAGGCTCCTTACTGTCTCTTCGTCAGTTCTGGTCGTTAGTATCTGACATTCCGAGACGTTTAGCGTAAGTCCCATTGATCGGCCCATCTTTTCACTACTTCTAAGCCCCTTGCTAGATCCAATCCAGCTATCCTGACGTCATCTGCAAACAGAAAACAGGGATTTTGGGGATCCCGTGCTTGGTCGTTAATGTATAGCAGGAACAGCAGTGGTCCAAGTACGGATCCTTGGGCTACGCCGCTTGTGACCACTTCCTCTTCGGATCTGTAAGCTCCTACTTTAACACTGAACGTCCTCTGCGCAAGAAAGCACATTATCCGGCTCCTGACTTGCCCATCTACTCCCAATAATTGCAACTTATGATCTAACAGATGATGGCTGACCGAGTCAAACGCTTTCTGGAAGTACAGATTGTATACCTTCACTGGTAAAGCCTCATCAATTCTACGTGTGACCTCGTCTAGAAACACCAGCAGGTTTGTCATACAAGGTCTCTTTTCAACAAATCCGTGCTGAGCTAGTACCAATAGCCCGCTATTGACCATGTAGTGGTATATCTGCCTTCTAAGTAGGCGCTTCAAACACTTACATATTACTGATTTCAAACGTACTGGTCTGTAATTCTCGGCTGTTTTCCGGAATCCAGACTTTGTATTGCCACTACTGTGGCTTTGCGCTAGTCTTTCAGGACAGTTATCAATCTAAGCGACTCTTGAAATAACTCGAAGATCAGTCCTACTATGCCGTCAGCCAGCGGTTATACAATCGCTGGGTGAATTCTGTCAGGCCCCGCCGCCTTGAACCTATTTAGCCGTGCTAACTCACGCTGCCCATCCTGAATTTCCACAATGATTTGGGGCATCGTGCAGTTACCTTCGATTGATGGAAGGTTATCTGTCACCCTGGGGATCCTTTACGTACTTTGAAAAGCCGTAACAGGATACATGCTTTATTGCATCCAATCTCTGCTAGTGCTGCTGTCGACGATCCTAGAGTACCAACCGTTTCCAGAATGTTGCGCTTAGATTGAACATACGCGTATAATCACTTAGGATTTCGCTTGAGGTTGGTTTTAATGTTTAACTTCCCTTTGCACTTTCTTCGCATATTTGCGCGCTTGTCTGTAACCATTCCACGACTGATGGGTGTCATACAGTTTACAGACCGCCCGCTTTCTTCAGCTAATTGTTCTAGCCCTAACTACATTTGCTTTCCACCAAGGAGGATGTTGCTTCTTTCCTAATGGAACCAAAGGTGCGAACCTATCCGTGATTAGGAGAAGTCCTATCTTGATATGGCTTCATCTGGTTTCCAGAGATGCATCTGCTGGGTTGGGCACCCAGTTTATATCCTGCGCCGCTCTGGCCCGTTTTTCCTGGTTGATTTTACCATATCGCCTCCCTAGTTTGGCTGCTGGTTTGGTGTGTCTGCTTTCCAGCTTTAGTCGCAAGACCACAGGACCAATTTTCCCTAGGGGCTCCTCCTGGATTATTGTTCTCATGTCTCCAGGGGTTCTGTTGATCACTAGATCCGGCATGGACGGCCTGCCATTTGCTCTAAAACGAGTGGCTTGACGCATGTGTTGTCATAATGAGCGCTGATGTTGCCACTCTAAAACAGTCCACCCCACAGTACCTGCTGGTGCTGTCTCTACTCCAGTTGATCTCGGGCATGTTGCAGTCTTCTTCTAACAACACCCTTCTGAATATGTAAAGAAATAATTACAGCCAAGCAATCAATTCCTGATCTTCTGTCATATTCGCCTGCGAGCCTAATAGACACACATGACGGCAAATGCGTTTCTATCTAGTTTAACTACACAACTGATGACTTGTATGTAGGAAGTCGTTAGGGCTGCTGCTGCCTCCCATTACGTGTGATCTGATTTTATCATTATCTTAACCCAACCTCCGTTGCCTGCCATCTATCCTATCCTGTCTATATATTGTGTAGTCGCTGGTTCCGCACAGCTCACCGTGGTTTCATTCTCCGGACTGGTTGTGGCGATTTTTGAAAGCTTTTGTATACAATACTTTTCTAAGTCCATTATCTTCCTTTTCTTATTTCTGCTTTCTCTTTTATGAACTCAACATTTAACAGTTGTTTTAACCGGTCTCCTCATTACCCGCTCGGTATCTTGGCGGTCTCACTCCGTGATTTTATCAATTGTTTAGCGTTCTGTAACCGTAACCTACGACGGTTTCGTAGGTCGCAAATATGTATTGATTTATGCCTGTAATAGAAACGAAATTTCAACTGTCGTTCAACTGTTTTCCTACGTGCTGGAAATTTGGTCAGTCGGAGTCGAGACATTGCGATTCATATTGAACGTTGTTCGGATTACCGTTATACTGGTAGCTGCAACTAAGTTATTTAGTTGCGGTGCTATGTCCTGTGTTCGTGGCGAGTTTGACCTTACCTTACGGACCACGGCATTGCCCTCGTTAACCCTCTTTTTGGACTCTTTCCTACATACGGTACATTCTTTGGTACCTTCGGTGTGGATCAAAGGCACTCCAGTCCCAAAGAACTACGCCTTTGGTTTGGTGGCCGCTTACATTATTCCCCCTTCTAACTGGGTGCATCACCCTGATAGGTCTATCGGGGGTGACTATTATACGCTCCTGAGGACTAACCTCGATCCCTGAAGCTCGTAATGATAGCAGATCTCTCATGTTAGTGTTTGGAAACACAACTAAGAGAGGCCTTGGACCACGTGAGCTTTCCACTTTCCACGGGCCAATTCTGTGGCACTTGATGTATGGGGTGTTGTGGGGCAACCCTGCCAGCCTAAAAATGTTTTGCACATGGCGATGTTCAGCTTCTCGCCTCGGCTTCACCATGCTAATAACTTGTCCTGCGCAATTTTGCAGTAGCAAGTTCTTATTTCTTCCCAGCGACACTTCGCTGCTCTTTTTCAGCAGCTTCAGCTCTCTCTCTGACTGATCGATCCGTTGTACCATTTCCCAGTAGCTCGGCTAAACCTAAGGTTTAACCACAGACTTCTTAGACTGTAAAGGCCTGATAGTCTTTCTTCCAACATCCTTATTTCGGTTTCCTGCTTTTCTTATCTCTGTACTTTTATTTAGGGATGGTGCAGAAGTAACCCCTTCCGGCTTATCTTTGTTTTCCTTATTCAGGGGAGCCAGTGATTCCTTCAGAATTCTCCCGAACTCCTCGGTTAGTGTTGTGCAGTGTTTGCAAACCCACTTAAAGGACTTGTGCTTCATGTGGAGTTTATACTCCCTCTGCTCATTTGAGAGCATCGCTGGTGGTACCACACTCCACAGCAGTCGCACTGAATTCCCTCGGCGACATACTCTGCGCAACGATTGGCCCCAAATGCTTTGGAACCTTTCAATGGTGTCATTCCTGGTTAAAAAAGAAATGTCTAAATAAACAGTTCTCTAACTCTGGAAAAGTAGTCACAGGTGATNACGCGAACCACCAAAGTGCACGCAAAACGTTGCCTAGTAAAAAGTTTGTGATCTTTGACAGATCACGAACGACACTGGTGAACGTAAAACTATTTCAAGAGTTATTTGAATGAAATATCTACTGATATTTCACCAGTACCGGACAAAAAGTGTGAACGACATAGAGCATAGTGAAAATTCAAACCGCGCGGTAACTCACAAGGTCACGGGTCACGTCACGTCACGTCACAGGACTTGCGGCTGATGCCAATTTGAGTTCAGGTGCTTGTACCGTGAGCGTGTCGTTCGCCCACGTATGCTTCGACAATAGGTAATCCTATACGAGCCCCTTTGTGAGCCCCTGGCTTTCGACTTGGGCAACTTTCCGGATCAGTTACTACTTCTGCAGCTAATATATTTTCTTGCTTGTAAGGGTTACCTGTAGAAAAAGAAAGAATAAAGCGTGCCTACAGTCTAGGTATGCACCAAGCTTGGTGGTTAGTGGGGTGAAGCAATAATATACCCTGGACGGTTTCCTAGTTACCGGTGGGTTCGGATATACCCAGTAGGGTGCAAGTGGAGCCTAGAGAGTAGTTATAGTAATGTGTTAAGGGAGAGGTAGTGAAAAGATATGGTAGACGGAAGCATTTCGAGGGGTCCCCGTTTAAGCTGATTCAGTAGATCATAGGGTCTGTCGTCCGAGCTGCCCGCGTACTCTTCCCAGCATCTGTGACTACGCGTCTCCTGTGTTAATCTTTCAAGTAAATCCACGTTCAAACAAGCTCAGGTGAGAAACTCACAGACATCTTCCTGTTTATCCGCAAGCTTAAACCCAATGGCTTCTAGATTACTGGAGCATCGGATCGTATGTTGGTCGTATTCGTCAGAAACCTATCTGGCTATCAAGTCATCCGAATCTATCTGCATAGCGGTAGTATCTCTGACCCTGTCAGGTTCCAAGCGCTGGACGCATTAGCTGCAGTCCACCCAGGGCTCAGCCTAACTCGGTTTAGGAGGATGGTGGTGATTGGGATTTTGCCCCTCTGTTCCCTCATCTAGCAGACCGAGCTGCAGTCCGTTATTAGTCGAAACAGGTGCGTGCCTTTTTTTATTCCATTTGAACCTCTATCCACCGTTTGTTGTTCATTCTCTCTCTTCTCTTTTTCTCTTTCAGGTCCGCAGTGGGAACAGGGTCGTTGCTCAAGCGGAGAAGTGGATGCCTCGGAGAGTCCTAATTGAGTTTGTCGTCCCCAACTTCGCTCACTACAGGTCTTCTACCACTCACCTCTCGAGATCTGTGGGAGAGGATCACGCACTTCACTGGGCTACTGTTTGTTTGTGAGGTATGGACGCATCAGCTTCCTACCGACGTTAGGTCTCACAGATGTGCCGGTAAGAGATAAACATGGGGCTTCCCGTCCCCACCTGTCTTCTTTGGTCTACTTGGGCTATTTACGGAGGAAAGTACTTTATGGTGAGATGCTTTTTCACCTGCTCAGGGTCAGCAACCTGGATTATCCTAGGGGGAATTAAGTATATGGTCCCAGGTTGTTAGCGTAGTGCGTGGTTCAAGTTTTTGTCGTGGTTAGTTTTAGGACTTTATTTCGTTGTGTAGAGTTTTTAGGCGTAGTAGTTGGCTATAGTGTTACAGTTCATTTTTACTGGTACCAGTTTACCGAGCTCTTACCCATTTTATCTGTTTACTGTCTTCTGTGTTAGTGTGTTGGGTAAATTTCTGTGAATTAACAGAATTTACTAAGTTTTTTTTATTCCACTCACGCGAGACTGTCCGTGTTGGCCTAACGCTCTTGCTCGCCTTGTAAGTGTGTTCGTTTTATCTCACCTGATTAACCATATTAGAGGCCTAACTCACATCTTTTAACTAACTTGGTTATTGTTAGTAGTATTATCATGCCACATGTTTCATTTCCATGCCTTAAAGTGTCATGTAGCAGACGCGTTGTATCTGGTATAGCATGTAGCATTTACGAGCAGTGGGCACATAAAACTTGCTCAAAACTCTCAAACGCACTCTACAAACTCTATAGTACTCATGAGGATCTCCCGTGGGTGTGCGGAAGCTGCACATAGATCGCTACAACTGCACTAAAAAACAGCCAGAACCCATCGCCTAGTGGTATTGATATAAGATCGTTTCACGTAAGCTCCACCACGTTCAAGTCGCCACCAGGCCAAGCAAGCAACGTCACTCAGACGGCACTCCTCGCCCAGCATGTCTCACCGCTGCTCTCGAAGGTATCACTCGATTATTCGTCACCAAAGACTCACATTGTGAGCTCCCAAAGAGCTCACGATCGCCAGGAATTGAAACCAGGGTCACCACCAATTGAATGGAAGAATATATCCAGCCCTCGTGGCTCAAACACAGTTATCCATAACAACTGTACCATTGTGGAGGCGCAGTACAACCAGCATATAAAACAAATCACGTAAAATAAAACTCAGCGACAGGAGCAGGAAACGATGATATACCTTGCGGAAAAACCCGTCTTCCTGAAAATATAATTGACAGAAAAGTTCCTGCCGGGCGAACCAAGCCTTCACCCGACCCCATTACACGCAAGTCCCTAGGTGAAGGTAGGGTGTGAACGTCTATCAAAGCTGGGACAGGTGATCCCTAACATAAACAACAGTCAGCCGATACAGCAATTCATAAACAAGGCTACCATGGGCCCAACCAAAGGGCGGAAAGGTCGGGAGCAAAACGCTGTACAACACACCCAAAAGCCAAGACAAGATAAGCCCAATAACTCATCAGTGAACCCGTCCACAGCATTCTCTTCAAGGCGAAAGGCCCAGAAATATCCAACTGGTTGGAAAAGCCCAGGCTAGCTAGACCCAGAAGAATAAGCTCCCATACCAATGGCTCTCGTTCGCATCTCGCAGCACGAAAGTCAATTGGAAAAGCTCTGCCAAACTACGGAAGCAAACTACAGAAGTGAAGATACTTCAGTCCGCCTACGAACATACATTAGGCCGGACAAGGAACATTCTGATTAGAGCCCCAAAGCCTTACATTCGTGTAACCTCCCACGGGCTCAAAACGGAAAAAACCTAATTCACAGTGAAGGCGATCACATGGGATGAGTAAATGGATCCCCCCAGACGATAACTGCGCCACAGCAGTGAGGCCCCTGCTCGTGGAATTCCACTTCTCCAAGGATCGGGAGTTCGTTTTTTCTAAAGCAGAGATGTATGCAGCAGCAATGGAAAATATATCCATTGATCCTGAATCCACCTTGTCAAATACATCCGCACCATAAGTCACAGGAAACGTCCCTCGATTAAAGGTTAAAATCGACCGTCTGCGTACAGACAACCGTGGGCCAGACAACGGACCTGATCAAACTCGCAGCCTCTCCAGGCCAACCCCAACACCACGAGAGCCGGTTCAGCGTGCACACTCAGCTAACCACGACCAAATAAACTCGATAATTCCTCGGAGGATCACTCCGAGGAATCCATGATGCCCACCCCGAACAGACGCCGAAAGCCACAGCGAATTAAAGGAGTGCTAATCAACGTCTGCAGTCTACTCAACAAGATGGACGAGATCGCCGACCTACTCCGCACCACTGACCTGTGTGTTCTAACCGAAACTTGGCTTCAGGATTGTACTCTAGTTGGAGACCGGAGCAACAGATTCCAACCGCATAGAGCGGACAGAAGCGGAGCTCCCGGAGGGGGTTCTCTAATGTTCTTCAGCAAAGAGATCCGCTTGTCTCCAACCCAATTCATGGGGAACACGTTGCATATCTAGACAACAGCATGAATACTCAATTTAAACCCACCAGCTATAGCGGTAGGGATCTACCGCAGCCCATGCGCAACCGATGCAGAAGACTTTCAACCTCTTCAAGCACTAAACAATGCCTCTTGAACAGGATACCGACAAACAGCTGCTGCAAACCTCCTGCTCCCTGTCCCTAACTCAACACGTGATTTCACCTACAAGAGTTAGACCGGGACAACAGCCCTCTACTCTGTACCTCATATTCTCCAGAAATCCGGGAGAGGTAGCCAAAGTGTCCTTTGGGGGACCTCTAGGGAAAAGAGACCACTGTCCGGTACACTTTCTCTTTAAGCAAATGGAATCCCCAAGGCCCAAGCTGAGAACCCGGCGTTTCCACGTTGTCAAGGTTGAAGAACTACTTGACAACGCAAGGTAATTGGACTAGTCCAGCGTCGGTAACGTAGGAGACAGATGGTCTCTCTTGCTTAGAAACATAACTCACCTAACAAAGAAGCACGTTCCACTGGGAGCAGGAAACCCATGAAGCAACAAACCGCGGTGGAAACCCAGGATCCGCAAAGCCCTGGAAAGGAAACGATTAGCTTGGAAAACAAACATCAATCTTTAGAGTCTTGCCTCTTATAGAAGATTCAAACTCCTGATAACCGAGCGATCAAGACTTTCAGGAAGGCTAGACAGGTACACGTACTTGGCATCGCAAGAGACGCCAAGCTGAATCCAAAACTTTGTTCCGGGTACGTACAAGCAAGGTCCCCTACTAGAAAAGAGATCGGCAAAGTACTGCGAGTTCAAAGCAAACTGCTCGACGCGGATGAGCAAATCGCGAATGCCTTTCTGTCGTACTTCTTGAGCACAAAACACAGAACAGACAGCAACCTTCTTTCTCGTCTGACTCAACTAGCCCACCTCCGTGGAACGTGCTTACCAGGTAGCAGTTTCTACTTCTCAACCAATTTCATACCAGCACACGAATCCAACTTCAAAGCTGGATCTGTGAAACACAATCGACTTTGGTACATACTTTTATAGGTACTGTCACCCATCGTTCCTTACTTCATATCCGTCTGATAACGTTTTTAGCCGACCCAATTGGCTCATATCCGTGGCACATGCTAACCAGGGAGCAGTGTCCATGTTCTCAATGATGTTCTACCAATACACGTATCCACCCCCATTTTAGATCTGTAGCTCAAGACATATTTTGATAACATCCTTTTACCAGTATTATGACCCAAGCACCCACTCCGATTAGATTGTGTCGTTAGCTTCTTGCGATTTCTCTCCTTAATCCCTTGCCAGCTGGGTATTACCCCAGACTGTCGATGTACACCTTCCTATTCCAGATTCGGTTGGTTTGGGCCTGACGAAGGCTTGGGGTCTACACCCGCAATGGAAAATTTGGCACGGACAATGGTTGTTGGGCGCGGCTGTACCCACCGCCTTGACTACATGCGTCCGCATTCCGGACCAGTTTCATGAAGGCACCCCCTGCCTCGCCTACGTGTTTTAAGGTTGGGGGTCTAGCGTGTAGTCAGTCCCACATTAAAGCAACCAACGCCTAAATAACGCAAATAACCCGAATCAATCCATTGCTGATCGGAGCCCCTGAGACCATTGATCAAGACCCTACAGAACGCATCTGTTTCACTACTTGCAGTGCATATATATTCTATGACAGTTTCACTCTGTTCTGTTTCATCCTATCCGCTCTTGTGTCGGTTTCAGTCCATTCTCGTCCAACGATCTGCAGGCCGCCTCTTGTTTTTTGACTCACTGATTGCCGTATTTCCAGTCATCTCATCATTCATCCGGTTTAACGATTCTTGTTTTTCGTTCTACTTCCAACGACTTGCTCTTTTAGAACATTCCGCCATCCCCAACCTTTTTCACTGATACCTTGTCCACTTTGTGGTCCATTTGTAATTATGTTCACTGAGACCTTCAAATTTTTCCTTCTGGGCTTCTCCTATACGAACGATTATATTGTACATTTGATCATGCCTATGCATGCTTCACGGGGCTCCGTGAAATATACACTTATTATTATTATATCAGTCCACCAACAACCACGTCTATCATATGCCTGAGGTCTTCATTACACCAGAGGACGTAGATAGGTCATTGTCTAACCTCAATTTAAACAAATCCTCCGGTCCTGATGATGTCCATTCTTTAATCGTCAGACACCTCAGCTCCTTATTAAGGCCCAATCTAGCGTCCTTATTCAATGTCTTTATCCCTGAGCATCATACCTTTAGACTGGAAGAAGGCAACTACAATTCCGTTTTCAAAAACGGAGATAGGTTTAGTATATCAAACTAAAGACCTCTTAGGCTAACCAGTATGATAACTAAAACGTTTGATCGCACCCTGCGGAACAAGATATGCTCTTTTCTATTCAAAAAAGGCTTCTTCAGCGACGCACAGCACGGATTCTTAAAGAGCAAATCCTGCCTCTTGAATCTCCTCACCTCCCTGAGGAGTACTACTACGAGGAGATCTGGTTGAGATGTTCAAAATATCTAGAAACCTCAACAGTTCGCCAATGGGTCACATGATCCGCCTGAAGGAAGTTAGAGGTCTCCGGGGGCATCTATACACTCTGGAGCGGAAAAGAAGCCGAATGCAAATGAGGCACCACTCCTTCTCAAATAGAGTAATTCCAGCCTGCAATCGGCTACCGGCAACAGTGATGTCATGTCAATCGGTACAGACCTTTAATTGCGAGTTAGACCTAGCGTGGAGCTCCCTTTTTCCGGACATATGCTAATGATAACTCCTCCCGATCCATGAGAAACAGAGGCTGCGCCATCTCTTTCTTCTTTCTCTAGTCATTCCCAAGACAGAACACACCAATATCAGGACAACTCACAGACGAAGGCCTCCTTACATCCTGCAGTTTGAAATTTGAAAATTGATATGCATCGTCGGGAAATATACCCGACCCTGCCTCGTCCAGATGGTGCTTAAAAGCCCCAAGGCTACGAGCAGCAGCCACTTGCTGTGGTAACCGATTCCACGCATTAATCAACCGATGCGAAAAGAACTGAGGTCTAATACTCCTTGTTGCCCTGGGCTTTTCCAATTTGCATCCGTTTCTCCTAGAGTTGGTGCGTGGCATAGTTGCAGCAACAGTGTTTCTGTTACCGAGACGCCGGTCAGCTGCTTGAACGCCTCTATGAGGTTACCTCACATTCTCCTTCTCTTGAAGGAAAACAACTTTAACCTCCTGAGCCTCTCACTGTAGGCAACGCGTTTCATGCCTTCCATGACCCTCGTGAACATTCTTTGTACCGCCTTCAGGACCTTGACGTCTTTCACCAAATAAGGCGCCCAGGCCTGAACGCAGTGCTCTAGATGTAGCCTCACCAGGGTCTTGTACAGTGGAACCATCACCTTTACCTCTCGAGAGGATACAGCCCGCAGAAGTTTATGAAGTGCCCTATTACCTTTTGCAGCAGCTACCAGACACTGAGGCGTTGGTTTGAAGGTCTGGTCTATGATGATACCCAAGTCTCTAATGTCCTCGCTCCTCGTTAGAGGTAGATGACTCTCCGTGGCTGCACTTCGCCCATCGCTATTTGTACCGACTGACATCAATTGTTGGCACTTGCTTCATTTCAGCAGGAGTTCCCATTGAACTGTTTACTCCTGGAATTTGTTCAGATCCCCTTGCTATTGCGACACATCTGGCCGGCCTACGGTTTTAACGTCGTCGGAAAAGAAGTAGAGCGGCTAGTGCATACCACGGACCATGTCGTTGATGTATACGAGGAACAGCATAAGACCAGGCACCGAACCTTGGGGAACCCCGCTGCAATCTTCGGTAGACGCCGATATACCGTCGTCTACTCTCACGCGAAAAGTCCTGTTGTGCAGGTAGGCTTTCAACCAATTTACTATCCCCGGAGCAACCCTGAGACACTCCAACTTGTGTAGCAGAAAGCGATGGTTTNGGTAGCATACCTCGACTCTCTCTCTCCTGTTTCAAGTCGGCTTGTAACCTCATTCACGTACGACAACAGGTTGGTCAAGCAGGATTTACTTTTAAAGAAGCCGTGCTGCTTATCGGCTATTAATCTATTTCTCATAAGGTGTTTGGCCAGTTTGCTTCTAGTAACCCTTTTGAATACCTTCAATGTAAACGACAGTAGGCTCAATGGCTAGTAATTTGCCGGCTGTTCTCTTTTGCCTTCTTTGTGAATGGGGACAACTATTGCGTCATCCAATCTCTAGGCAGCTGCGCAGTACGGAGTGACCAATTGAATAGCTCCGCGAGGGGTCCCACCACGATTGCCGCAATGGGTTTAAGGACTGCGGGATGAATGTCATCTGGCCCTGCGGCCTTGTGCAAATTTAGGCGTTGCACTATATCCCTTATTGTTACATGGAAGTCATTCATTACGGGGATTGAGTTCATCAGCATCCTACCGGGCGGTTTACCGGGTTCTAGCACGTGGATACTTTCAAAAAACCTACGCATTTCCTCGGCTTTCTCGCCGTTGGTCAAGGCGTGCTGGCCCCAAGCGTTCCTTGTGCATCCTATCGCTAATCCGGTAGATGCATTAAACTGGATATATCTATAGTATGCCTTCGGGAAGCTCTTTGCTCTGTTTGCCAGTCTTCATTCAACTTGAAGGCGGCAACCCATCTGAACTCTTTCAGCTGTTTTACTCTTCCCCCTGTATTGGACCAGCCACCTTTGGCTCATTTTTCTTTTAACTCGCCTCCACGCGTGCTTTATTATTTGCTGCGCATTGGTGGCCGTCTGAGCTTCTACTTGAGGAACTGCCAACCTCCCTAAACGCTCCCGTACGGCACGTTCCATTCCAGTCTTCCAGCCGCCTCGAGCATACGCAGTTTATCGATTTTATTATAAGCCCTTTTCAGCTTCGGTGGGGGCACATCTATCATACCTGGGATGGTGAATCGCAACACTCCATGGTCACTCCGCCCAAGTGGTGCTGTGATCCTCAAGCAGTCGACCTCGCTGGAATGTTTCGTGATCACCAAGTCCAGGAGCTCAGGGTTATTCCCTACCCGCCACCTTTTTGGACTTGCGACATGCAAAACAAGAGCAAATTCTAATACGAACTTCACTATATCGTCCCCAAATGTGTTGGGTGGAGCAATCAGTTCCTCCCACATTGCCCCAGGGGTGCTGAAGTCTCCAGCAATTACTACAATTCCGTTCTTCTCTGGTTAAGTCTTTAGGAATGACAGCAGCTGGCGAACTTCGTTCTGACTTGATGCTTGGCTTTTGTGTATACATGCTATCCAGTTATCTTTTCCTGGTGTTTTGATGCAACACGAAGAGGCTTGAATATTTGGCGTCACTAACTGTCCCCCCAGTCAATTGCTTATGACGGGGATTCACGGGCTTGAGAACCGGAGCTTTCAGTAACCCGGGTTCTGGTGATAGGTTTATTGCTCAGCGACGGAAGGAGGTCGTCGGAGTAGTTGTCTGTTACTCCGTATCCGATTGTGTCCTAAACAAGAGACAGTTAGGAATGCTACTGCTCAACATTTTTTATGCGCACGTACGTAAGCAATGGTCAAGACCACACAACTGGAGTTCACATAGGTTCTTGCTATCACACGCTTCGCAGTGTTCCAACGGCGTCTACCGGTACAAAACCCTTCTAGACAGCCAGGACGCAAAACCAAACCATGCAATCATTCTTCCAGCAGTCGG